ATGTTCATAAATACTACTATCATCGTTTTATTTTCAAAATAAGACTCATGCATTCACTCCTAGTTTAGGACATTTTAATCAACTTATTCTTGTAATAGAACTAAATAAGTCCTACTTTGGAACTTTGTGTATGTTTAGTTCTATATTGAGCAATTCTGAAAAATATAATCAATAAAGCCATCTTGACCTACTCTTGCAAGTTATTTCTCAACCAAAAAGTGATGAAACTACTAAACTGTGTAAACAGTCATATATATATAATTGAAAATTTAATTTTAAAATATAGAAATATGATTTAAAATAGGAGAGTAACAATGTAGAAATACATAACTAATTTCAAAACGTTCAGAAAATGAAATGTAAAAAACATAATGTTAAAAAAATATGTAGAATTTATACATAATCTAAAAACGCAGAAAGAGTAGATTTGGGCATTTTTATTTTACTCATGATTGATTTGCTTTTTTCAAATTTTTACATTTTTCTTAGGCTATTCTTTCAAAAACAATCTCTTACAATATGTCAGAAATCAGCACCAATAAAATTAAGTAAATATAATTAGATGATACCTCAATTTTTAATATAATGATTTGAGTAATAGAAGAACTATTTAGATAGTCTTCCCAAAACTGAATTAGCTTCGAATGGACGATATTGTTAGGGCATATAAGTAAGTAAGTAAGTAAGTAAGTAAGTAAGTAAGTAAGTAAGTAAGTAAGTAAGTAAGTAAGTAAGTAAGTAAGTAAGTAAGTAAGTAAGTAAGTAAGTAAGTACGTAAGTACGTAAGTAAGTAAGTAAGTAAGTAAGTAAGTAAGTAAGTAAGTAAGTAAGTAAGTAAGTAAGTAAGTAAGTAAGTAAGTAAGTAAGTAAGTAAGTAAGTAAGTAAGTAAGTAAGTAAGTAAGTAAGTAAGTAAGTAAGTAAGTAAGTAAGTAAGTAAGTAAGTAAGTAAGTAAGTAAGTAAGTAAGTAAGTAAGTAAGTAAGTAAGTAAGTAAGTAAGTAAGTAAGTAAGTAAGTAAGTAAGTAAGTAAGTAAGTAAGTAAGTAAGTAAGTAAGTAAGTAAGTAAGTAAGTAAGTAAGTAAGTAAGTAAGTAAGTAAGTAAGTAAGTAAGTAAGTAAGTAAGTAAGTAAGTAAGTAAGTAAGTAAGTAAGTAAGTAAGTAAGTAAGTAAGTAAGTAAGTAAGTAAGTAAGTAAGTAAGTAAGTAAGTAAGTAAGTAAGTAAGTAAGTAAGTAAGTAAGTAAGTAAGTAAGTAAGTAAGTAAGTAAGTAAGTAAGTAAGTAAGTAAGTAAGTAAGTAAGTAAGTAAGTAAGTAAGTAAGTAAGTAAGTAAGTAAGTAAGTAAGTAAGTAAGTAAGTAAGTAAGTAAGTAAGTAAGTAAGTAAGTAAGTAAGTAAGTAAGTAAGTAAGTAAGTAAGTAAGTAAGTAAGTAAGTAATTAAGTAAGTAAGTAAGTAAGTAAGTAAGTAAGTAAGTAAGTAATAAGTAAGTAAGTAAGTAAATAAACTTGATTTGCAGGTGGAGCTTGTGGGTATGAACCGCACAAGCAAGCGTATGGTGCATTCACAACAGCTTTAAGCATGGTCCTGTATAACAAGGCAGGAAGATGTGGAGCCTGCTATGAAATCAGATGCGTTAACAACAAGTTTTGCAAGCCCGGCGGCCACTCTGTCGTTGTGACGGCCACCGATTTTTGCCCTCCCAATTTTGCCGACAGCAAAGCGTGGTGCAATTCTCCGAACCCACATTTTGACTTGTCTCAGCCCGCCTTTCTCCAACTTGCCGAGTACAAAGCTGGCGTCGTCCCCGTCCAATACCGCAGGTACGTACATTATAATATGAGAAAATTGCACTTCTCTCTGATGCAACAATGTGACAGTACACATGCATGTGACAGTACATTTTTCGGTTTCTTTCCACTGTTCTATACATATGTCCTGAAAAGAAATTCTCAGTTTCCTTTTATGGATGTCCCAAAAAGAAGTTATCGTTTCTATAAAGGAAACCACTTTTATCTCAAAATATGTGTGTAGTCAAACCGGTAACTTCATTTTGGGACGGAGGGAGTATAACTTTGATAACTTTTCCACAATAATACCAAACACAATGTGTACATCTAGTCACTCTTCTTGATATTGTGGAGAAAAACTTATCAAAAACATATAAAGTCTTTCAAATAAGGAGGGAGAGATACTGCTTATTATAGAGTAATATTTATGTGTCTGTCTTTCTTATGTCACATGTATATGAATGTTGAGTGGTGAATATTCTCTTACCAAAATGGGATTGATTGATTTTTATTTTGGGAAGTTTTTATTGTTTTATAATTTTATTCGTTTTAATATGTCTAAATAAGGTTTGTGGTGGATGTAGGGTTCCATGCAAGAGAAAAGGAGGAGCGAGATTCACAATTGAAGGGAACACCTTCTTTAACCTGGTGACGGTGACAAATGTGGGAGGAGCGGGAGACATTGCGAGGGTTGACGTTCAGGCCGAAGGGACCCGGCGGTGGATACCGTTGAAGCGCAACTGGGGAGAGAAGTGGGAAACGGACGAGAAGCTGGCCGGCAAAGCCCTCACCTTCAGGGTCACAACAAGCGACGGCAGGGTCTTGGCTGCTCACAACGTCGCACCAAAAGCGTGGCAGTTTGGCCAAACCTACCAGGGCCGCCAAAACCTTTAATTTAATCTACCTGCTAGCTAGCTGCAGGAACGGAACTCACTTGAATCAAAACAATATCAATCCCTTGAATGACAAGGAGATATTTTCAATTTCTCAAGTGTCTTCCGTTTTCAACAACGCACATTTTATATGTAGACTAAATATCGATCATATCAGTCCGCTTTACGGGATTTCCGTTTCACGGGCTTCATTTTTGCCAAAACAAATGAATTAAGTGGTCCAATTTTTTGCTCATTAATCTTAAAATCAACTTCAATCGTTAGATCTTAAATAAATATGTTTGACGGTTGAACCTACAAACTCACTTTTTCACTTCTAATACTCCGTACTTTAGTCCTTCGGATGACGCCATTAAATGTGCACAAAAGCATCTCAGCGAAAATTTTGCAATGAAAGACCTAGGTGATGCCAAAAGGATCCTAGGCATTAACATTGTTAGGGATAGGAGTAAGCGTGTGTTGGTTCTCAATCGGATTTCGTACATTGAAAAGATTTTGAGTAAATGTAACATGCATTCTGCTACTCCCGTTTCTATCCCTATGGCGTCTCACTTTGTGTTATGTAAGGATCAGTCTCCCCAGACTGCTCCTGAAATTGCTAAAATGAAATTTGTGCTTTATTCCAATGTTATTGGGTCCGTGATGTATCTCATGGTGAGTACTAGACCCGACATTGCCTATGCTGTTAGTTGTTTGAGTATGTATATGTCTAACCCTAGTTCAGATCATTGGAATGCTCTTAAGTGGTTGTTTAAGTACTTGAAATCTACTGTTAATCATGGGTTTATTTTCACTAGGTGTTCTGATGATGTTAAGTTGAGTGGGTATGTGGACTCTAATTTTGCTAACGATAGAGATAATAGGAAATCCACTACCTCTTGTGTGTTTACTCTTTGCGGGTCTTGCATTAGTTGGAAGTCTCAACTTCAACCCATAGTAGCCCTATCCACCACTGAGTCTGAGTATGTGGCCGCTACCGAAGCGTTTAAGGAAGCCATTTGGCTTAAGCGTCTCCTAACGGAGATTGGTAGTCTTAAACAGGATATTTGTGTGTTTTCTGATAGTCAATCTGCTATTCAACTGTGCAAAAATCCTGTTTTTCATGATAGAACTAAGCATATTGGTGTTAGATTTCATTTTATACGGGATATTGTTAGTGCAGATCATATCAAGTTGATTAAAATTCCATCGGAGTTTAATCCTGCCGACATGGGGACTAAATGTCTCTCTGTCGAAAAGTTGTTGTCATGCAAACGCTCATTAAACATTGATTGCGGATAAGTTGCCTGGTGATCTTACCCCTTTTGCCTGAATGCGTCTTTGTGCTCATTCGGGCAATCCAGTGATGATGATTCTCAAATATGTTTTAGAGTTTTGACTCTACACCACTAGGGTTCAATAAGGTGGAGAATGCGTTGGTATTGGCCCGCTTGTCCTTAAGCCCAACTCATTGGAGGAGTACCCGACCCATTTCCGCCTCTTACTAGTTGTTCGCAGCGCCTATCTCCTTCCTGCCTGCGAAATTCGTTCTTTCCTTGGACGATCCCTGCGTATCTCCCTACTTGGTAAGTTACCATATCTGTCTTCAGCCTTCCGCCTATTAATACCTTGCTTCCGTCTGCGATTGAAGGCTGGCCAAAATTAAAACCCTCGCTTTCCCCCAAAAATCTCCTCTGTGGAACCCTACTTTGAATTGGTCGTAAAGCTTGAAGGCAGATGCCCATTCCTCCCCATTTGTGATCCTAGTGTGTGAAATTCATCCTTTGTGGATGAAATAGATGAGACCTGAGCTGGATTGAGACCTTACAGAAAATAAGCTTAGAAAAGTAATACTCTAGTACTCAGTGCATAGTAACAATTGGTAGTGTTGAAAAAGTGAACATGGCCTTGTACTTTGTTCCAAAATAGAGTGAAAACGTTTTGGAATTCCAAAATAGGAGTAATACATTTTTATTTTCCCTAAATAGAAGAAATTATTGTCATATTTAAAGTGTGATAATGTCGGATATACGTCACGTGAACATGGCCTTGTACTTTGTTCTATGCTTTGTCTTCTCATTATCACGTCGTCCTCATAAAAGTTGTAGATGATTAAGGTAGTTACGTTATCTTTCCAACTCTATTTGAATAAACAATTTGGGTCAATGAGACAATGATCATCCCACATTGATGGAGTACTAGTATATATGGTTCATATTTGTTCAAGAAAATAATAAAAAGTGGTAACTGTATTTCTCAAGATCAATATCAACTTTAATTTGTTTATAAAAAAAGATCAATATATATCAACTTGAACTTAGTTTAAACACATACGTGCTCTAATGACGACAGTGATAAGATTAATTAAACTTAAAGGGTTGAAGTATATTCCCCCCTCAATTGAGTACATTCAACAAATATAGATCATTTTCACTAAACATCAATTATAAGGTCACTATTTTCGTGGGCATGGATTTGATTGAGATGTGATGGAGGATTGGGTGAGGTAAATAGCCAGTCATCACCATCAATATACGAGGTAGTCAAGTACGGAGCAGCCTCAGATTTATCCAGTTGAGTTGCATATGATGCCCTATATGTGAAGCTAGCTCCCGGTCCACTGCAATCATATTCCCCAAAGTAAACCGTCCTACGCACAAATTAAATACATGCATTCATAGCCAAACGTTAGTTATATATTGATGATAATACACAAATTAGATATGCTCATTAACTACTTTGATATTAAATTCTTAGTACTACTTTGAGTATACTACTCCGTATACTCGAAGTATGAAGCAGTATGTAATCATATGACCACCCACCATAGGTGGAAGACTTTGTGGCACTGGAGTAATGATGATGATTATGAGCATGTAATCATATGATTCGTAGCGGAGCTAGAAATATTTTTGAAACAGGGGCACGACTTCAAACTAATTACTTGTCTCTAGTTGAGTTGTTCCAATCGTTCCAGCCATCGGGGGAAACTACGCTGGACATGTACGTCAAAGAGAAGACGACTGTTGCATAAGGCCCCCATGCTCGCCCCAGCCACACCCTTCCACTCCCACCAATGTTACAGTTCACGAATGAGAACCCGGTTTCCTCTTCCTCCGAGCCCCTCCTATGTGCAGTTATTGATCCACTTACCTCTCCGCCCGCTGCTTCTTCTGCTATGCTGTGTATTGTGCAATCCTGCATCATGCATGTACATGAGGAAACACTCAACATGCATGTTCACTGATGAAAACGGTTAGCAACACAAGAGGGGGGGTGAATTGTGTGTGTGGAACCGTGGCAGTTTTTCGCCCAGTTCTAGTGCGGGGTGAAGGGTATTGCGAAATAGTAAAGGGCACAAGGATTTAACGAGGAAAAATCCCTTGGCTCAAAGGGATTAAAAAACCTCGACCTCCCTCGGAGGAATTTTAACAACTTCACTAAAAAGCCTTTGAATGATTACAAGGGAAACTCTCCTAGTCTACCCTTGAGCCACCCCAACTCTATCCTCTCTAGGAAGAGTTACGCTTCTCTACCTTGCGGGTAGAGAGCCTCTCAGCTTTACAACAAAGCTCTCACAACACACGTTACCCAACCCGAGGAAGCTACACTTAGCTAATCCTCAATAACCCAATTACAATATAGGAAGAGAATAAGAACTCTGTCTAGAACTCCGGGAGCAGTTTCAGGTGCCTTGAACTTTGTATTTCTCTCGAGTATCTCTCTTGATATTTTCTCGGTCAAGCACACACTGCTTCTTCTTCTTGATCTCGATTATATAGTCTACTAGGAATGGATCCGTTGAGACACTTCTTTCCTTGAATGGTTGAGGAACTTGCCTTGAAATTATTCAAAATGCTTTCCTTTTATTTAAGGATCTTCTAGCTCTTAATTATGATGGTCCTTGGTCAACCATATATATATGGGAGCAGGAGGATACGTGCATATCATGAGCAAGTCAAAAAGGTATAGAGCATATTATGTGATCAACCATTTAGTAACAATTCCACAAAGATATATATCAATACATATCAAGGGAAGTAATTTATTCACTTAAACTATGCAAGCATGCAACGGATCATATTTCAAATACTATGCAGGAGAATATTTGTTTAATAGGTATGCACAATCAACTAGCTGATCAATTAAAGATTCTTTCCATAAAATAATAAGCTATAATAATAAGTCATGCATGAAAATATATTTTTGCTTAAAATAATATTCTTGACAAAGTATAAGCACTCATATAAGGAAAGCACATATTAATTAAATCATACACCATGTAAATCAAACGTTCACACAGAATAGAATTAAGAATAATTTTGTCTTCCGTTCCGTATGGAACTGAGAGCGGTTCCGTCCGCAGTTCCACCTGCATAGTTAGTCATTAATAAAACTACATACTCAACAGATTCTTTCCTTTGAGATCGGTCTTCTTAGATGGGCAAGATCAGGACTTGATGTACTATCTTTAATAGCTCGGATCTCCATATATATTTCGGTCCTCTTGCATGGAAATCATTCAAAAATATTTCCTTATAGGTATTAAAAGATATTCTTTTTATTTGATTGAAGGAAATCATTTTTCTTAAGGAAACATTCCTTGTGAGATGATATGCACGAAAATCCTTTTTGAATTTTGAATAACAACAATTATTTTGGAAACTTGCTTTGTAGAAAGATCTCTTAATTAATGCCTTTGATTTAAATAACTTTCCTTTAAAGAAAAAATCCTTTCTTTGTATGATCATTGATTATTTTCTTGCTTAAAAGGTTCTCTTTAATTTAGCAAGATAGATCCGAAATTAAATGGAGAGAAAAGATATTTTAAGCAAGCCGGATTAATCAATCTTGGATTTACGGTGCAGTTCTCGGACCAGTTCTACGGCTTGTTCCAGAGCACGACTTAAACTCTTTTCATGTAGTCACTTACAACCAAAAGTAACACTAGTCGTTTGTCATCAACAAAACAATACGTTCCAACAAATTCCCCCTTTTTGTTGATGACAAACACTTGGTGCCCTAAAGTTAGTTTCATAATGAATAAGCCCAAAGTATCGAGCATAGAACACATAGGGCACATATTCTTCCCCCTTTTGTCACCAACAAAACAATAAATAGCTTGAAAGATAAAAGATAAGAGATAAATTCAGGAAAGATAGTTCATGCCTTGATGAACCCAAGTTCCATCCATATTTGTTCATGTTCATTAAGCTCGTTCTTGAATACCCATTTGAGACCTATCTTGGTCTTGTTCTTGGGTCTCGGTTCTAGATGCCACACTTTATTTCTCTCGAACTGATTTAGTTCTTCCTGCATTGCTAGAACCAGTCAGCTTCGGAGAGAGCCACTTCATGGTTCTCCGGTTCTACAAGTGATAGATAAGCAAAGAAGGAATAAAAATTTCTAAGTTTAGATCTAGTAGTTACTCCCTGATTTAGGTTAATCAAGAGGTTATCCAACGGATGTGATCGATGAAGTTTCCATCCTCTATGAGCATTTGAAGTCTTCAATTTCCTGTGAGTCGTCTGGAACTGGATCTGCATGTTCTTCAGTCTGGTTGGCAGTGGATATCCTCAGTTCTAAGCACGTTATCGTCAGTTCCTGCTTCTATCTCCTTATGGCGATTAGTTTCATGATTAGTTCCCCCTTGCTCATGGAATTGGTGCAATCTCCGTGTTTAGAGCTTCTGTCCATAAATTCTTTGCGCTAGAGATTAACATAGTTCTAGTCATATCCTTCAGTGTTCTTTTCTTCCGTTCTACCACCCCATTTTGTTGAGGCGTTCTAGGAGCAGCGAAGTTGTGGTCTATCCCTTGTTCTTGGCAGAATGTATCAAGGAGCTTAATGTCAAATTCGGTCCCATGATCCGAACGAGTCTTAATTACTTGCTGCCCTGTTTGATGCTCAACTTTTCTTACAAAAATAACAAACTCATTAAAAGTATCTTTCTTACTATCAAGAAAGATAGTCCAAGTATGTCTTGAGAAATCATTAACAATTATAAGCACATACTCTTTATTAAAAATAACATTGTTACCTTTGTCACAGAATTGAAAGATACTTAGCAAATTGAACTTAAAACCTTAAAAAAATCAATTGAATGGTTGGGTGATTTTCCGGTTTTTCCCACGGCTACAATTTCTCCTTTGCCTTTGTCTCCAAATATCACCTTCCCACCACTAAATGGCCGAAGTGAGAGGAATAAAGATGAGTCTCCAGTCCTGTGCTTAGAACAACCACTGTCAAGGAACCAGTGATTGTTCCCCCTCACTTGGCGCTGTTCCTGAATCACGGGTTAGTCCGTGGAACCCAGACTTGCTTGGGTTCCATTTTGTATTTGTTTGAGGATGGATATCGAACATAGTCAAAACATCTTTCTAAGGTCTTTTGTCGAGAGTGACATTGATACCGAAGATGCCCGATTTTGCCACAATGCATGCAAACTCGGTTGTCATAAGTATCAACGTATTTAGGTTTCCATTTACCATAAAAGCCTCTTGTTCTTTTATGAAAAGTTCGGTTTGGCGTTTGTCCATAACCGTTTTTTGTGCCTCTGAACCAGTCTATCGAACCAGTTTGGTCCAGTTCTAGGTGGTTGTTGATATGGTCTAGAACTGGGTTGTCCTCTGGTTCTATTTCCATTAAAGGATCGGTTCTGAAAATCAGGTTTTTTATTAGGTTGAGCGTTCCTTGGAATATAACCGAGACCAGCAGTCTCGTTTTCCTTCTTGTTGTGCCGAGGGGGACCAGTTCCAGAATAAGGTCTAGACCTGGTTTTGTTCGTAGCACTATATGCTTGGTATTCCGGTCTATTTTTAAAATCTGTACACTCGGCAACAAGACGATGAAGATGATCAATCAAAGTACCAACGCTCGGAATTTTTGAGAGAAGTTTTTCATCATGATTAACTTGTTTGTTCATACTATCGAGCTTAAGAGAGCAAATGATTTGATCTTGTTCTAAAACCACTTCACTGTACTTAAGCCTTTCATCTATTAACTCTCCCACTTTTGTTTCAAGCCTTATCTTGGCTCTCGTGGCTTCCTCGAGTTTAGACTCAAGCTCAGTGATTTGTGATTTAAGATGATCATTTTCAGAAAGGTTTTGATTAAGCTCAATAGTCAATCTTTTGAAAATTTTCCGGGCTTTGGTTTTGGATAGAGAGTCAAACTTAGATAGAAAATTTTCAAAGTTTACCTCGAAGCTCTCTTGGTCGGATTCCTCGTCGGAGTGTGCCATAAGACATAGACCTGTATGGTTATAGTTCTTATCACTCTCCTCTTCTTCGTCATCGGATGAGTCTCCCCAGGCTGCCATCATTGCCCTTTTGAGATCTCTTTTGAACCCTTTGTCTTTGCTGGACCTCCGGTTAGAACTGGACTTGTTCTTGTCGTAGGTTTGGTCATTTTTCTTTTGTGAACAGTCTTTAGCCCTGTGCTCAAGGGAACCACAAACAAAACAGCCTTGGTTATTAAAAGATTGAAAGTTACTTTTACCTTGTTTGTTCCGGTTGTTCTTGAACCGTCGGTACATCTTCCCGAATTGTCTAGCAAATATGCTCATCTCATCTTCCGATTCACTTTCGGATTCTTCCTCCTCTTCTCGAGCTTTTAGAGCAATTCCTCTCTCTCGCCTTACAGTCTCAGCGTCTTGCTCTTCTTGAAGCCCTAACTCATAAGTCAAGAGTGAACCGGTCAAGTCTTCAAGAGTCATGGTGGTCAGGTCCTTTGCTTCCTCAATAGCCGTGGTCTTAGGCTTCCATAACGAGGGCAAGCTTCTCAAAATTTTTCTCACTTGATCTTCCACAGTAATATCCTTTCCAAGGGCTGAAAGCTCATTGATGATATTAGTAAAACGTGTAATCATATCCTTAATTGACTCTCCAGGCTTCATTACGAATAATTCATAATTACGCATAAATATGTCAATTTTAGATTTTTTCACACGTGAGGTACCTTCATGAGTAACCTCGAGCAAATCCCACATTTGTTTGGCAGACTTGCATCCTAGAACCCGGTTGTGTTCGGAAGGACCAAGTCCACAGATCAAATATTTTAGTGCTTGGGCATTATGCTCGAGTTTTTGATAATCATCAGTAGTAAATTCAGATTTAGGTTTAGGAACAACATTACCTTCGCCGTTTAGCTTTGTGATGACATTGTCGCCACCTTCTATCACATTCCATACCTGATAATTATCGGCTTTGATAAAGTTCTCCATCCGACTCTTCCAGAACTGATAGTATTTCCCATTGAACAATGGTGGTCGTTGAGTCGAGTAACCTTCTTCCAATCGGTCAACCGTATTCATTTTGCCGGATCTCTTCCCAAGGTATTAACCTCTATGTGGTGAAGACCGGCTCTGATACCAATTGATGAAAACGGTTAGCAACACAAGAGGGGGGGTGAATTGTGTGTGTGGAACCGTGGCAGTTTTTCGCCCAGTTCTAGTGCGGGGTGAAGGGTATTGCGAAATAGTAAAGGGCACAAGGATTTAACGAGGAAAAATCCCTTGGCTCAAAGGGATTAAAAAACCTCGACCTCCCTCGGAGGAATTTTAACAACTTCACTAAAAAGCCTTTGAATGATTACAAGGGAAACTCTCCTAGTCTACCCTTGAGCCACCCCAACTCTATCCTCTCTAGGAAGAGTTACGCTTCTCTACCTTGCGGGTAGAGAGCCTCTCAGCTTTACAACAAAGCTCTCACAACACACGTTACCCAACCCGAGGAAGCTACACTTAGCTAATCCTCAATAACCCAATTACAATATAGGAAGAGAATAAGAACTCTGTCTAGAACTCCGGGAGCAGTTTCAGGTGCCTTGAACTTTGTATTTCTCTCGAGTATCTCTCTTGATATTTTCTCGGTCAAGCACACACTGCTTCTTCTTCTTGATCTCGATTATATAGTCTACTAGGAATGGATCCGTTGAGACACTTCTTTCCTTGAATGGTTGAGGAACTTGCCTTGAAATTATTCAAAATGCTTTCCTTTTATTTAAGGATCTTCTAGCTCTTAATTATGATGGTCCTTGGTCAACCATATATATATGGGAGCAGGAGGATACGTGCATATCATGAGCAAGTCAAAAAGGTATAGAGCATATTATGTGATCAACCATTTAGTAACAATTCCACAAAGATATATATCAATACATATCAAGGGAAGTAATTTATTCACTTAAACTATGCAAGCATGCAACGGATCATATTTCAAATACTATGCAGGAGAATATTTGTTTAATAGGTATGCACAATCAACTAGCTGATCAATTAAAGATTCTTTCCATAAAATAATAAGCTATAATAATAAGTCATGCATGAAAATATATTTTTGCTTAAAATAATATTCTTGACAAAGTATAAGCACTCATATAAGGAAAGCACATATTAATTAAATCATACACCATGTAAATCAAACGTTCACACAGAATAGAATTAAGAATAATTTTGTCTTCCGTTCCGTATGGAACTGAGAGCGGTTCCGTCCGCAGTTCCACCTGCATAGTTAGTCATTAATAAAACTACATACTCAACAGATTCTTTCCTTTGAGATCGGTCTTCTTAGATGGGCAAGATCAGGACTTGATGTACTATCTTTAATAGCTCGGATCTCCATATATATTTCGGTCCTCTTGCATGGAAATCATTCAAAAATATTTCCTTATAGGTATTAAAAGATATTCTTTTTATTTGATTGAAGGAAATCATTTTTCTTAAGGAAACATTCCTTGTGAGATGATATGCACGAAAATCCTTTTTGAATTTTGAATAACAACAATTATTTTGGAAACTTGCTTTGTAGAAAGATCTCTTAATTAATGCCTTTGATTTAAATAACTTTCCTTTAAAGAAAAAATCCTTTCTTTGTATGATCATTGATTATTTTCTTGCTTAAAAGGTTCTCTTTAATTTAGCAAGATAGATCCGAAATTAAATGGAGAGAAAAGATATTTTAAGCAAGCCGGATTAATCAATCTTGGATTTACGGTGCAGTTCTCGGACCAGTTCTACGGCTTGTTCCAGAGCACGACTTAAACTCTTTTCATGTAGTCACTTACAACCAAAAGTAACACTAGTCGTTTGTCATCAACAAAACAATACGTTCCAACATTCACTCTCAACATATTCGGTCATATGCAATTCTACGAAAATACCTGGTAGAATGACCTGGCGTTCCCAAAGATGAAGTCAATAGAACCCTGAATGAAACAATCTTTGAAATAATGTCTTCCTTTCTCATCATTAAGGGTGTCTTGAGCTCCATAGAACCCACATCCATAAAATGCACATTGATCTCCGAGAATACTTAGGGCCATGGCCTGGCCTCCAGATTCGCCCGATGGTGGCGCTCGAGCTGTGTTCTTTTAATTTCCAACAATCATCTCCATTAATTCTCCAATTAACTATTCGATTGTGATATGCGTAGTATATGCAACAGTTATTATGTACTCGTACTTTTTTGAAAGTTTTGTATGGTTAACATTCACATACATTTTTCTTACCCAATCTTAACAATACGTACATTTTCACTTTATTCTCATTTCTTAAACTCTGATTTATGGGAAAGAGAGAGATTAATAATTTAAAGAATACACGGAGTATAAAAAGATGTACTCTCTCCCAAAATAATTTTTTTTTATCAATGATACATAAGTTTGACTAATGACATTTTTTAATAAGGAATCATTGCGAATATGAAAATTACATTAAAGTGCTCCTTATTAAAAACTTTGTGTAAACTCTATCATATCATCATTGATCAAGAAAAGTCAATATAACAAAACAATTTTGGAAATGCATGTGTATAGGCTGGCGGGCAAGGAACCTGAAAGCTGATATTGTAGGCTATGAAATTCGGGGCTAATACAGCAAATGTGTAGCTATTGGTGGTGCCTCCGGTAGAATTTGCAGTGTCGTTCCATGATATGGCAGTGTTGTGGTAACCTTTTCCTTGTATTATCACATTTTGCTTTTTGCTACCCACCATCACTTTTTCCCTGCGCCATCGATCCATTAAATTATCAGCATTCAAATACTACGTACCTACCACCCAATGTAGGTATTAAACTTAATTGAAGGCTGTCTTACATGTGACTGGCCGGGCATATCCATGAATTTGAAAGTAAAATATACCATATTGATCCGTCCCAAATTGATTTGCAAATTTGATTTTTATTGATTAAACAGATTCATTTTGTTTGGTTAATTAGGATGTCAATTTTTAATTATATTTTAATTCGGAGTTTACAACTTTAAAGAGATTTTAATGTAGCTTATAAATATATATGTAAATTTTAATTATTAAAAATTAAATTAATTATCAATAAGAAGGATTGACTTTTATTATTGGTTGATCAAAAATGTTAATTAACTTTGCAAAAAAAAATTGGGACGGAGGGGTATTATTTTAGCTCACTTCACATACAAGCAATCTATGTCCATCAAAGCTTACACTAGGGACGGAGCTAGAATTTAGTGTGAATAATATTAGTGTCCATTTTAATTTTTATACGTAGTATACACCAAGATAGATATTTTTATTGGTATCGATTTTAAATTTTTTGAAAAGTATATACACTTATAATTCAGTGGTAGTTTGATACAACCCTATGGGTTGTGCCGTCCCTCGCTTAAACGATTTACAAAAGTGGAGGAAGCAAATTTAAACAAGACTCTATAGATGATGGAGTACTTTTTATATGTATTCTATCAAAGGTGTGGTAATGAAGTATTGGAAGAAAAGTATTTTTGGGGAGGATTGGAGTAGTAGTTAAGTGTTTTGGAAAAGAGAATTTTATAAAGAGAACTTTTATTGCTAGATATAAAAGATTTCTCAAGTTTTACTAATACAAAATGAGCTAGGCTACTATCAATTAATGACTAGGATATGCCAAGACAAATCTAATATAATGTCTCTGAATTAATGATTCTCTAGAGTTCTATTTAAGAATATTTACATTCTACACCTTTCTACTATCCAGATAATTAATTCTAAAAGAATTATGTCATGTTGACTATTATTCTAGAAATTGGATCATCTATTATGGGCTACCTCTTATTCAGTCATTTGATCGAGGACTTGCTATTTATTAAAAAAATCAGTGGGCTAACCAACCAAATTTTGTTATTCAACATGAGATCATTATAGAGTTTGTCCGAAAGAAGAAAACGAGTAAAAAATGATCAATAAGGAGGATTATTTAATTTTATGATTGATCCATCAAAAAATGATGTTGGCTTTGCATAATATATAATTTGTTTAAAAAAGATGACAGACCTGTAGGTGCCGGAATTGATTATGATGAGTGTTATGGAAGGACTGAGATCAGGAACTGCATGAATGGCCATCTTTATACTGCTGAAATTTCCACAACCCTTTGAATCCACAGTGATAACCCTCGAGACACCATACATGGAAACGATGCCAGCAGAGTCCCATGTTAAGTCTCCGCACTTGGCCTTCCGCCGCCGCCGCCTGTGGTGGCGGTGGTGGTGTTTAGAGCTTGTAGTTTGGTCCACGTCCACCGCATAGAGCAGATCTTCAAAGCCAATCTTTTTGAGGATAAAACTGAAACCAACAGAAAAGCAGGGCCATTTCTTTCTGCTTGCGGCGGGAGGAGCACCGCTAGGGGTGGTGGCGGTGTAAAAAAGGTCGTCGAAGTAGACAGAAAGTGTGACGGCACAAAATGCAACGCTTAAGGCTAAAAGCCAAAACAAAATGGTTGATGATCTCACGGCCATGACTAGCTAGCTCCGGCGCGCACTATATAGGAAACCTAGCGCAGCTACGCCTTCTTAACTTCTTTCTAAATTCAAACCTTCTAAGTTCGAACTTAGTATTGCATTTTAATCATATACGATACTAGTAGTATATATACTCCCTTTCTTTTTGAAATGCAACATCCCACTTATTCCCCTATTCACATGTTCTAAATTGATTTTATTTATGTATTATAAATTAATTTTAAAAAATTATTATTAAATTCTTCTCATTTTAAAGTTTCAAAATATATATTACGTATATTTTTTTAACTCTTTTACTACTAAGTTATTAAAGATATTAATGGTCAAAGTTATGCGTTGACAAATATTAAAAGTGAATTGTTGTATTTAAAAAAGAATGGAGGAAGTATATGGCCAGCTACATCATATTGACAGTGTCAGAGAGAGCCAAACACATTTTATTTCTTTGATTTTTCTCCCACATACACCCTAAGATCGACAAGGGAATGCTAGCGAGGCCTTCTCCCAAGAAAAATTTTATGTATATATGTATGTATAAATATTTATAAGCCAGAAAAATATAGTGAAAATTTAAGTTTTGACCCCTAATTAAAATAAATTTGCTTAAGCTCCAGCCCTTTTAACTTGTCATTCCTAGCTATCACCGGTATAGTACGTATACACAGAGTATTAAATTCGAAAAATGAGAGTTAATTTCATCTTAATTAGAATGGGAATTGTACATTGATGGATAGTCTACCCGGGGGTTATTGCGGGAATAACTTAGAGAGAAGTCAGAGCAAATAGGAGGAGAGAGAGTCGATTTTATTAAATGAATTCAGCGTGTGGAGTTGAGATGTAGATGATGATTTACAAGGAGAAATGGGCTGCTATTTATAGCAGCAATAAATGCGATGAGGGGACACGTGTCAGTAATCCAACGGCCGAAGGGTCACATCAGCCGGTTGGCACCGGCAGTGGTACGTCCACCGCATTGATTGCGGTTGGCGGATGTGACGTGGCATTAAATGCGGTGGTTGGCTGTCTCCAAAAGGAATCTTCGATGATTGAGCATGTTTGCCGAAGGCTCCTTGTGTAGCCGAAGGCTTCATGTATGGCCGAAGGCTACGTGTATGGCCGAAGGCTTGGTTCAGCCGAGGGCTTTACAGTGCCGAAGGCTCCTGTTTTCTGTCGTTTTCTCCCAGTAGCTTCGCATGGTTGAACATGGCGGTTTTGTGAGTTTTGGAGCCTTCGGCCAAGGAGGCCGAAGGCACCCCAGTGTGTATTCTGGACTTCTTTGGGGCTTGGGCCGTCGCATTTGGGCCTGAGTTGTTCTCTGGGCTCAATGGACTTGTGCAGGAGAAGTAGGAGTCTATGGGCCGGGGGTTCCTGGGCCATATACTCCATCATACATAATCTAAAATAGATGTGCCCACTATCATGAACTACAAGTATAAACAACAGTAGCATTTTGTAAATAAAATTAATTTTTTTGTCGTTTGAGTTATCCATAATTTGAAACAGAAATAGGCATCTCCATGAATTGAATAAAAGTGTCCATGGTTGGTTTTGCATCATTCTTAACTTATTCCTCATGGGAACATCAAATCATATTCTCTTTGGAATGACACAATGATTTAATGAAAATGATAATGAAAACAGCATGTCCAATTTAAGAATCGTACATCATCTCAATGAAAAATGTACACTGTCATGGAGGCATGGATCAAAATCATTTGATGACGCAGTACATTATTCAGTTATTGTGACTAAATTGAAATGTTCTTTCATCACCAACTTTCCATTATTTTATACTAGTACGAAATCAAATGTGCACTCTTATTAACGAGAAAATATGTTGTATCCTGAACTATTCCCTTTTCTCACGTTTGCAACATTTCACTTGAACCAAACTATATATAAATATCTACTGTCTAATATACATCGCACTTATATATATGTTTAAGAAGTTTTTCGATAGAACTAATTAGCTTCATAAAATTTAACAATCTAAACTTGCAGGGCCGGCCCAGGGCATGTCTACCCAGTGCGACCGCACAGGGCCCGGATTTTTGAAGGGCCCAAAAAATTTTAGTATAACACCCCAACCCAAAATCCACCTGCGTAAATCTAAATATGCTTGAAGAATGTCTCTTTTTAAATAAATTGTAAGTTATTAATGACAATTTTTATCATTGTGTTTATTCGTAAGTTGTATTTTAAGACAATTTGCTTGTGCTGCAACTTGAAAAAGGCCCAAATTTTATTCTCGCACAGGGTCTACATTTCTTCGGGACCGGCCCTGTAAACTTGTTATTCTCTACTTAAAAAAGTCTTCGATCAATTCGATGAAACAGTCTATTATTCTTTATATGCAAAAAGCTTTTGAATATAGCTATTTTCTTAGACGGAAAGATTGTTAGTTTTATTTCTTTAATTAGTTTTTTAGTCTACTTCAATGCATGCATTTAAGAATACTTTTGTCCTAATTAACCTTTTGAGAACCATCATTATGCTGATCGTTATTGAGAGCACCTTCTCTCGATCCCTTTAAACAAACATCGTGTTGGCTATGTCGTCCTTGGCTTGAATAATGTTTCCTCAATTCCAAAATGGATGTTGCAATTTGACTTTGCGAGTCAAGCATTATTAAATTTGATCATTCATTTTCCGATGTTGTACGCAATGTTATTTATAAGGGCATCCTCATACATAGATTATTTTTGGGATCATTTTGATGATGTGGTAGATTTTTTTGGATCATGAATGAGGAGTTGAGATTATTTTATTAGATTATTTGATAAAATAATCTGGTATCAAATTCTAAAGCTAGATTATTTTGAAATTATTTTCAACTTTTAGACTCCTCTCTCCATTATTTTCTAGGCATATACTAATAATTAAAAAATCTAGGTAAATTGAGATCATGGATGAGGAGAAATTGATAAGTTTGGCGATTATTTGAGATACTCTTTTGAGGAAGTGACATGGCAATAAGAAGTCATAAAAAACCGTAAACTTGAGTATATGATGAATGGAGATAGATGCTCTAAATGAAATTAAACTTAACGACCTTTTAATGAATTTGTTGCTTAATAGTCCGTGCATGTTTAATTTTTTAGTAGCCGAAAGCTAGAAATGGGCAGTGAGCTAAGATTGGATGTTGCACACGTCAAGAAATTTTGTTGGAGGTTAGATGCAAAGAATGGATAGCTAATTTGGGCATGTCGATCCATTTTAATTTAATGATGATATTAAGAATGGCCGGTGCCGTCATGGGTTTACTAATTCCCACAAACTAAACTACTATTAATCCTTAATTATGCTCTACCTACAAATAATTTATCATGTTTGATTTTCTCATCGTCAATTGTCAACGATTGCTAAACATAATCTATTTTAATTTGATAGGTTAAAGAGACTACCTCCTTTCGTTCCGTTAATCTGAATCAAGTTAAAGTGACACATAAAGTAAATCAAAATAAAATCCTAAGTGGTTTGCACCCCACTTTTTGAGTGATATTGAACTTTACACCCCATTTTGAAAAAAATTTGATTTTGCACCTCATTTCACTTAAAATTCCTTCGACTTTACAGTTTGCACCCCATTTATAAATTTTTCTTCACAAAATGGTATGTGTCGGACTGCAAAGTCAAAGTTTTTTGAAAATGGAATGTAAAGTCTAATATCACTTTAAAAAATGGGATGCATAGTCAAATTCTCCCTTTTTCTTCATATAGGTACTATACGGAGCTGCATTTATACTTGCATGGACGAGCCTTTCAAAGGAGTGGTCATTGCTAAGGAAGTAAGGAATTTAATTATAACTTGTAATTTGGAATTGTTCATCTCTAATACCGAATAATTGTTTAAGAAATTGTCCAAATCCGATAAAAACATGGTAAAAGGTATAAAATAGAACTTTAAGATTTAGAGCTTTTTAATCACGTACCATATCCTCGGAATTTCGGATTATCACGAAGTATATTAAAGTAGTCTTCAATTTTTTTTGAAAATCAATAACTTAATTATTATTAATAAGGGTAACCAGAAACATAACAACCAAAAGCCGAAACATTACAATCACAGCGTTCAATGCTACACTAGGGTGAGACAAACAACAAAAAAGCCATACAAAAGCTATCATGTTCGTCCCTGCAACTATTTAGACTCGTCCCGCAATTTGATTGCTCGTGCTACTCGAAATAGGTCCGGTTTGACTAGCCACCGAAAAGGATTTGTTAAACTTACCGGTTTTTTCAGCCACCGGTAAGGAGCCAAGTGCCGAAAGAAAGCACCGGAAAGAAAGGATTTGTTTAAGAATTGTTCCGGTTTCACCAGCCACCGGAAAGAAAGCAATTCATTCACTTCCATCTTCCTTGATCGGCGGTGGTTCAGGAGGGGGGCGATCAGCCTCTATATTGATACAGAAGAAATCTTGATTCAGGATCGATAGAGAAGCCAATACACATCTCTTACTAACACCCAAGAACACCCGACCGATGATGGCGGGGAATATAAATCCGGCGAGCGACACTTCGCCACTGAAAATAATATCTCTAGACAACGCTAGGAAATAGACGTACACATAGAACTGAAAATATTGATCTGACGAAACTTTTTTCATGATTAGAATCCAAAAAAAATTGAACAAAGAGAGGAAGAAAAAGAGGAGGGGACTAGGGTTTCCCTTAGCCACTCCTCTCTTGGTATGATTCTTAAAATTAAGTAGACTTTAATTATATACGAAGTACTCTTCAATTATATACGAACATACGAAGTATATAAATAGTCTTTACCTCGGAATTGAAAGTTATTTCAATTAAAGTAGAAATGTAGAATATCATTTACTCTGTAAACTTGTAAAGTATATAAATAGTCTTTAGTTATTTGAATTAGAGTACAAATGTACAATGTAATTTACTCTCTGAAAAGTAGGGGTGGACAGTGGACTCGGGCCGGGCGGGCTGGGCCGGTACTGTTTGGGCCCGACCCGGTACCCGGTCTTGGAGTCGATTTGGGCCCAAACCGGGCACAAACCAGAACTGGCCTGATTTGGGCCCGCCCGGCCAGGCCCAAACTGGAACCAGGCCAGCCCGAGTCCACCT